GTGAGAAAAGCGATACGTCCAATCAGGAGCCCCGTATCATGTTTTTTCACGTGTGAGCCGTACGGCAAGTTGAAGTTTTCATTCAAGGCTGGTTGGCGCGGTTTCGTACACCGCACAAGCGATCGCTTTTGCAAATAGAGGATATTACATGGCCGCGCGAGGATACGAATTTTATCTTCAAGTGTTGCAAGTATCTGTCACGAGTGAGCGCAGCAAATGAGTGAGAGATACTTTCAGCACGAGAAGATAAAATTCGTATCCCCAAGCGGCCATGTAATGTTTTGTTTATTATATAGATACTGATGAAATTTCCACATAAAAGACAACTTTTTTTATTCATTTTCGAGACAGCAAAAATTGGTCATCTGTTGCAAAATGCTTGTCACAGAAATGCTATGAAACTCGGATATAAAGTTTTAAAGGGGAAATAAAGAAAATAATACTTCTATTTTCTTTTCGAAAAATTCAAAGTTCGAATAAAGAAGAGAAAAATGAATATAACAGCAAAAGCGTAATTGGATAATTATGTTGGTAACCATGGCCACACCAATATCCTCACACGTGAAAGATAAAAATAATATCTTCACTGCGTGCGGTGAAAATATGACTTTTTAGTAAAAGGAGAAATCCTAGTATTCCATCAGTATCTATATAATAAAAGCCAGTATACCATTATCTACAAATATGGCAAGCGTTCGCATCAGCCTAAAATTAAAAGGCAGCTAAAAAATTTAAGATTTGGTAAGATTTGTCCAATATGTTGGGGGCGTTTTTAACAAAACAATTATTCTTATCGCGCCTGTTGGATATGAGATGATTATGGCCAACTCGGTGCTATGCACCTCGTTGGCTATCTATCATCTCATATCCAACGCGCTCTCGTGGAATAATTGTTAAATATTACATGAGGGTTACTGCAGTAGTGAATGCAGTGAAAAGAAATGCTAAACCCACCAAAATTACTATTAAATAAAAGACAAATACTTACGATCTGTTTGTCAGTCAAGGTAAGTAATGGGAAAGAGAGACGTATTAGTTAGTTATGCACATTTGTTATTGCTTTCATAGTTCTTAATCTTGGTATCGTTTAGACAAAGTGTCTTGATAATTGAACAACCAGTGGTAGGACTAACTGCCAAGTCATATTGCACTTGCTACAACTGTTGGGTACTTCAAGTAGTGACCATATTGGCAATAAATGGGAGGGTCTGACCGGAAAAGAGTCTTGGAAATATTGTCAGCCACCATTGATAAAAAAAGGTCACTTTACCAAAGTATTCCCCTTGGCTGCAATTATAAAATGGTGACTGTGGTGAAAACCATGCCCGCCCGATTCATTGTCAGGAAAGCTTACAACTCTACTCTTTCGCAAAAGGAGATAACGAAAAATCATAATAACTCTGTGTCTCTCTCGTAATGACTGACTGGTGCGTCAGAAATGTCAAAATGAATGAGAAATAGTAAAAAAAAAAGAAAAAGATACTTACGACCTGTTTTGTCAATGACACGTTGGTGACCAGATAAAATAGAAAAAGGAAATAAATTAAACTTGAATGTTGTGTCATTTTAAAGCCGGTTTCAAATACAAATCAATAATGCGAATTAACTTTTGTATTTGAACATATTTTTGTAATTATATCATAATCTCTTGCTGATACAAGAGATTGCAAACAGGAGCAAAGAGCAGTTTAAAGCTCCAAGTTATGAGCTCCTGTTTTCGGATAAGTGAACCATTCAGAGATATGCAAAAACGATTAATTTTCCTTAACAAAAGATGAAGCGACTTTTTGCCGCCAAAAAAGGAAGAAAAAGAAAGGAAAAGAGATGATGATGATAGCAAGAAATAGGGACTGACTTACAAGCGAAACAAAACTTAGTATACCTTACAAAGCTAAGAAAGTCAAATTGTTTTATTTGACCAAAATTTACATGAATCGCGAACCACTTTGAAAAGTAAAAATACAGAGAAATTCTTCAGGAAGTGTTGTTTAATTGTTAATTTTTTAGCGTTGTGCTTGAAACACGATTTCTGAATTAAAATATTCTCTTACCGGCTAAATTGTCCATAAACCATAATTTTAAAGAGAAAAGAACGACAAAATAAATTGTTAGTGGAATTTAAGTGTTCTATACAAAATAATTACACATGTACTAAGATAACACACCGATACGTAATAGTTCATTTTTTTCTTTCACCGCATTGTGCGAATTCATTTTTGGGTTATTAAGAGATTTAACGTGTACAAAGGCCAATGATCCCACACTGAAAAAAGCAAATGCGAATAACACACAATGAAACTGTTATGCGCAAATGTTATTCTACTTTTATTAAGTGGCTGAATATACTCTGCGTAGGTTGTCTCACTTGTCCTAAAGTGATCTGATAGATGCGTTGAGAAAAATATCGATTTTAGATGACTGAAGTTTCACCTACTAAGCGATCAACAGACTGAAGAGTATTCTACGAAAGCAGAATTATACTCTCAAGTTTTTAATTAAAAATTCAGTAAAAAGAATAGTTTAGTTCGGTTGGAATTGTGCTTTCTATTCCTGGTAACTACAAGGAACTTTTTCCCACAATTGGCAATAATGTCGCAATCTGATCGCCAATTTGCCGTTGTCGATATGAGTACAGACAAAGCTGCTCATGTCAACGTGACACGCACTCAAATAATCCTTTTATTTGTNGTCATCGCAATTAACAAGGTTCATGTCGCCTCCACAAATAGAACATAATCGAGATTTGGCCAGCAAACCTTCCCCCATTAACCACTGAATAAGTCTATCTTTATCGTTCAGTAAAACAATCAAGTTATCGTAACGCCATTTGCTCTGCTTTCTCTCATCTCGCGCATAACTTCCCTTTGGGATGCCACATTGCGTCTCCTTGTCTTGTTTTTGGGCTTCAGGTGGAGTTTGTGTGCCACTGCTGGATTGCCGGGGTTTTTTGCGATCCTATACACACTTGTAAACATGTTTCAATAAACTACCTTTTTTAATCAAAACAACCGCCTCCCTTTGTTTCTCTTAAGGATATGATATCTTATTAAGTATGAGAACAAAATTCTTTTAATTCCTTAAATTTTAATTTCAGAGATTGAACAACTACTAAATAATGAACAAACGAAAATTGCTTTCAATTACTTGCCAGAACAATACCACTAGTTGAAATCTTAGTGGCGGCGTCTCAAACAACAGCTCACGTTATTCCAGTCATGTTAACCTCTTTCTTAGTTCACTGTAGTAAGCTAGGGATATGATATTCTAGTTATACTCGTGGTAATCCCTTCAAGAATGTATACCGTTTCCAGGCTTTAGAAGCAAAACGAAGAGACATGGGTGAATTTACAGCGACGATTGAATTCTATACAACTTCCTTACAGCAAGCTCTTCACTGACAACGAAATACACCGTTTTGTTAAAAATAAAGCTGTATCGGTTGGAAGCTCAGAAAGCTATTTTATTCCCAGTTTGCTTACTACAAAACAGCCTTTATCCTCGCATGCAACGACTCCAGCGTTGAAGTCATTTCCCCTTACAGGTAGCCTCTTAACCTGTTCACCATATTTGTTGCATATCCAGGGACTGGTGAGTATAAAATATGTATATTGGGTTTTACGTTGCCTTAACCAAAAATTTCCTATCTTTTTCCACGGTTCGGCAACGGCTTACATGGGTTAGATCGTATTTGGTTTGTCCTGCAAACCTCTTGCTAATTCTAACTTAACCCTTATTTTTAAGGGCCCTTTTCGTAAACAAGACT